GGCGTCACGGACGGACGACCTACGACGGTACGTCGGGTCCGGACCGTACGTAGCTCGTCTACCTTAAAACTAAAAAACTAAAACTAACTACACGACGTACTTAGTACCTCTCTCTCTCTCTCTCTCTCTCTCTCTCTCTCTCTCATGAGCCCATGTGCTCTCTGCATATAATAAGAAGAAGAAGATGGCTTCCAAGTGTTCAATGCGAGGTTCTCTCTCTCTCTCTCTCTCAAACACACACACACACACACACACAAAGACACACATGCACCCATATGCTCTCTCTTTCCATATAAGAAGAAGCAAAACAAAAATAGGGCCTCCAAGAGTTCGATGAGAGGTCCCTCTCCCTCTCCCTCTCTCTCTCTCTGTGTTTGTCTCTCTTTCTTCATATTAGAAGGAGAAAAAGAAGAACGTACTCCAATTGTTCAAGACCTCTCTCTCACAAACACGGATCCATATGCTCTCTCTCTCTTATCTACATATCAGACAAGACAAAAAGAAGATATTCTTTAAGTATTTCATGGCGAGGCCTCTGTATGTGTGTGCATGTATATATATATATATATATATATATATATATATATATATATACAAATGGAATAGAACAATCAGCAATTGAAGATCTAAAGAAGGGCATCTAAAACATATTCCACACATAAGTCACAATGTAAAAAAGAATTCTGCGCATCTAGCTGCTGAAGAAAATACTAATGGAAAGGCCAAAGCCAGCAAGAAAGGGTCTTCTCACAATAAAAGCTCATACGCCTACGAAAAGCCTTAGCAAAAGCCTGGGCCTTATATTTATCTCTATTAGTTGAAGCACTGAGTTTGATTTAGACGCCAATGACATCCCTCGGGCAGAACTGAAGAAGTATGTGTGAATTTTGTGAAAACATGTAAATTCCTCTTCCATAACCAACAAGGGTAAGATAAGTTGTGGAAAAGTAGAGAGTTAACTGGGTATAAATGGTTGGAGAATAAAAACAAATGGGGGAGAGATCCAAGAAAAGTACAAGAATTTCCATTATTTTCCCCTGTAAGTCACCAAAGAGGATCAAAATTTGGCAGTGTCTGTGAACAGGTTCATAAACACACAGTGAGAATGACTTTGAGTGGCAATGATACACGTGACAGAGATAGCAGATAGAGGAAGTATGATAAAAGGACTATAAACAAAAATTCTAGGAAACTGTCAAAAAAGAAAATAATAATAATAACAATAGTAATAATAACAACAAGAACAACAATAATAAAGACTATCTTGCATCAAAAGTTAACATAACAGATTTATCTTTATGACGGGGATCTCTATAAATTTTAAATCATCTTGATAAAGTCTATTCGAAACAAGGAAAAGAAGCAACAGCACTCTAGTTCAAAGATGAATGCAGTGAGAAATCTATCATCGAAAGTTTGTACAAAAGTTTGTACAATGGAATGACCAATAGAGGAAGATAGAGGTATATGATGAAAACAAATAACCTGCAAATGGAATATCCTCAGCCCAGAAATCCTAAACTGATCTACCTTAGTAAAGAAGAGTATAAGTAAAGAAGAGTATGAGTCGAGACTACCATGCATCGAGCTCTATGCTCAGTAAGGTCATTTTCCAAAAGGAGTATAAAGGCATGACATTATGAAATTCAACAAACATTTGACAAATCTTGTTGGTCATGACAGGGATATTCCCCCATGAATTCAAGCATAAGACTTTGATATTGAAATTATCTGAAATGAAGATCATGATGATAAATACTTTCAATTGTAAAAATTCTTCATATTTCTAGGCCTTAGATGAATCTATGTACGTATCAGGAGATTATGGATGAATAACCCATGATTTGAAGCAGACCTAAAAAAGTAGTGAAGTCGGCCCAATTTTATTTTATTTTTCGTTTTTTGGGGGTGAAAATTAGAATGATGGAAATACCTCAAGGGTATGTATGAATGTCCAAAAATCCCTCAAAGGTAAAATAGCATATACAAATACCAAAGTTCACCTTCGATTACCACTAATAGTTGCAAAGATTCCCCTGACGCAGAGGAATATACACATTCTACATAACATAAAAAGTTTTGCATATATACTAAGATAAAAATCCGCTAAAAGAACATATAAAATTGTTTTAATCATGAGCAAACCCATGATTCAGCCTCCACAAGAAGTCTGCAGTTAAACGAGCTTCAAAACAATGACATACATATGGGACTATGGAAGCACTTTTGCTATGCATGCAAGACCACACCCACAATATTATAACACACACACACACACACACAAAAGACTGCACACAGACAGACAAAAATACAAAGATAAAGCAGAGGCATACCATAAACAGACCCTCCTGTCCTTCCAATACTCAAGTCTTCATTCAAAGCCAGACGAATTTCTGGGTTCCCAGTAAGATAACTTTTCATTTGAATGGTACCATCAATCTCAGACATAAGGATGTAACCCTGTTCAAGCTAACATTAGTGCAGAGATAAACAAATTTAAGAGAAGGATAAAAGAAATTCAAGCACCAATGGTAATGGGAAACCAAACTTAAAAAACTGTTACAGTTATGAAAATCACTTCCCAAAAGTATCCATTCGTTAGTACCATATTTTATGCAATCATGTACGGCAGAGCACATTCTCATTTCAAACCACAGAATGTTTTAACATGATGGTATAGTATATAACAAGTTCCACTCTGTCATTAATGCATCGTTACAAAACTAATTTACAAAATGAAACCTGTAAAGATACTCACACTCGAGCTGAAGGTCACACTTATTTTCTCAATTATGTCAACAAAGATTTCTTCCCTTTTCCTTCCACCAGGATCAGTGGCAACAACAGATTTTGTAACTGCTGTCCCGGGCATTCTTTTAGACCCTTGCTGCAGCAACATATATCAGAGGTCAGCAATATATCACACATGATGTGATGGAGCTCAAAAATGTCACAGCAACAAAAGCTTCATAAAGCAAGCATATTAATTAAAAACACAAACATATTATGGATTCAGGCACAGAAGTGCACAATGACCGTAAAATCACATCATACCATAAACATGGCAGCAGGGCCAAGGGGTGGCAAACGTGCAGTATCAGCTACAATTGGCTCATTAAACACATAGGACTTCAATGCTTCAGTGGAGGTTGTTTGAGGATAACCAAAATCCTGGAAGCAAATACAAAATGTGTCACATCAAAATTAGTCAACAAATACCCTAACCCAAAAAAAAAAATCATTTCCTCTGCAACATGATCACTTCCTCTGCAAAAATAGGAAAATATTGACATTCACCACAGTTCAAATACAAATACCATTTGGCAGCATTATGACATTTAAAGATTAAGAGCAAACCACAAACCATATACAAATTCATGTTTTTCTTTGTTAGGGTTGCCTCATCTTTTGGTAGCTTCTACCTAGCAATTTGTTCACTTATCTACCTTGTCTACATGTATAACGATTTTTGGAAAGACACATGCCTGCCCAATAACGTGGTGCATTTACAAATAGCATCACAACGTTTTATGCTTTTTATCACTTTCCTGGCTTTTGAAATTTGAAACCCCATATGATAAATATTTCCACAACTATAATGAATAGTTTAAATACACTGCCACGAGATAAGGCCAGTATAGATGTGAAATATTAGACTTACTTAATTGAACAATTAATGCAATTTCACATAAATAGCAGCAATTGCATTCCTTTACCAAGCAATTCGACTAACAACACAACAGTTTCACGACTAAAATGTCATCAGATTACAGCAAATTTGAATGAAATTGCATTTTCTGAAAATGCAAGATAAATATTACGCAAACAGAGATAATTAATCAGGAGATATAGTTTCACATAAAGCACACAACTTTTGCAGTGATTCAATAAAATATTATATTATCAAGTGATGTTCAACTTATTTCAGATCTACTATGCAATGTTGATGCAAAACTTTACGTTTATGACAAATTTTCAAAAAAAAAAAAATTAAGCTTATAACACTTCCATTTACTCTTGAATTGAAGATTTGACATCACAATAGAGCTCCGTCGACGAAGGGTCTCCCAATATTTGGAACAGATCTATGTCTGTGCAATGATGATGCATATAATTTGATAATACAGTACTCTCCAAGGGAGCGATCTCTGCATCAAACCCCAGTTTTGAGAGGTAACATGACTAGATTGCCTAATCAGGAGAGACCTCCAATAACTTTCTAAAGGAAATCTGAGAGGTCAAGATCGCTTGTTTGATTCCATTCAATCTTTTCATTGGGAAGAAAAGTATTCCACAAATAAAGGTTTCTCATTTTTCTGTCAAGCCTTAATTTTAGAAATTGAATGCTACCATCTTCCTTTGATTCAAACAAACAATAAAACTTGATGCAGTACTTGAAGGAGAAAGAAATTATTTCATCCATTTAGATATTCACTTGTGCTTCCAAAAATTTGAGATGTGTCAACTCCACGCAGAAAACAGTTCCTTATTAGCAGTTCTATCGTCAACTCAATACACACATGACAGGTCTGTCAGAAACATCCTTAAAAACCACAACAAAACCCAATTACTAAACAAAGTAAATGCATTACTCAGAATGTCACACCTCTTGCGTAACATATAAAGTCCCATGGGAGAGGATTTATAGATTAGGGAAGTATGCCATAGTGCAATGGACTATGTTATGGGAAAGCTTTCTATGTTCCCCCTATAACATAGAAGTTCGATCCTCCCCCTTATCCAACCATCCACTTTTAATGGAGGGCTAAGATTGCCCCAATCACAATGTCACGTCTCTACGCTATTTTATTTTTAATTTTTTTTCTATAAACTATTTTGACACTAAATTTTGGATGTCCATTCCTCTATTAAACTCGCACTAACGAAAAATATAAAAAAAATATTTTCAATAAAATAAAATGACCAAAATACCCCTAAAAGTTTCAAGGAGTATTTTGGTCATTATTTTTTATCGAAAAATTATTGTTAATATTTTTCATAGGTGCGCCCCAATTATAAGATGGCACGTACCAAATTTCATATTCAGAAAATTTGTATTAAAAAAACTAAAAATAAAATACTTAGAAATGGTGAGTGGCTCTTCTAATAAAAAATGGACGGCTGGATGGTAGGGGGAGGATAGAACTTCTATGTTGTAGGGGGAACATAGAAAGCTTTCCGCTATGTTATACCACACTCAAAGTATACATCCACCCATCATTCCCATTAATAAGTGGTTGATATTTATTGCACCCCGGTGAATGTTCCAGAAGGTTCCACTCAAGTTAATATGCAATCAACAATTGGCGGGAAACAGTTTTGAATTCAGCCTTGCAGAAACCGTATACAAGAGTCCATCGGAATCTAGTATATTTTTCCTTATAGATTAAGGAAAGCAGTCAAGTTTCCCTGTGAAGGAAAATTTAGAACATTCATACATAAATATTGAGGAAAAAGCCAACCAGGTTTGGTCTTCCACATTCAATTGGCTTCATGGAACAATGGGGTGGACTTTTAAGGTCAATAGACTCAAAACATGATGATCTTCCTAAATCTTAAATGTAAGATCCCCAAAATAATGTGTGTGTGTGTGTGTGTGTGTGTGTGTGTGAGAGAGAGAGAGAGAGTTGATAAAAAATGAAGTAACTTCTCTAAGGGCAACGTATAGCACTATAGATCCCCAGGGGGAGGTGAAGACAATGACAAGGGCAAAAAGTGAATAAAGACAACCCAAAATTACATCTTTGAGAAGTAAACGAGGATAAATGTCATTCATAAAAGTCATCCACATAAACATAAATGCAATAAGAGGCTCCTGCTACAAGCCTTTAAATAATTGTAAGATCATTTAGCATTTATTTGTGAAATCCATAGACTAGTTCTTCTGATACATTTTACCATCCCTTTTAAGACGGTCAAACCCTTTAGCGAGCCAACAAATGGAGCCAGTAAAAACGAACTAAAATATGGATAATCATTTTGAATGCTATTGGGAAAAAAGAAAGCTTTGCAGTCATTCATTGAACCGTACCACATTGTTTAATTCAGCATTTCCACCAATTTCAGAAATTAGCAAATTGTTCCGATTCATTGGCAATAAACAAAACACTGTTTATTGACATTTCCTAAAATATATAGTAACATCTTTTTTTTTTGAGAAAGAAAAATATATATATAGTAACATCATTCAAGTAAAATCCTCCAAGGTAATTAAATCAAGCCTACAATTAATGTTTCATAACACAAGCAACTCCAAGAAAAACCTTAAAGATGAAACTACACAACTTTTCTAAAAGTAGACACATCTTATAAGTACTCATTGACTATCACTAATTTTATTTGAAGAAATGGAATGTGAAACAGTATTGTAGACTAAAACATTTAGCAGCAGCTACAAACTTCAAGTTCCTCCTTATCACCCTAATCCATCCCAGCAAAAAATTAGAAATAAGGATCATACTTACAATGACTTCATCAAGCAATTCATATACAAGCACAAAGTTCTTCCTTAGTGAGTCTTCATTAAGAACTCCAAGGTAATCTTTAATAACTCGTGCAATCCTCTGTAGGAGTTCCAAAACAAGAGAAGGGGAAACATTGACTCTTGTAGTTGCAACAAATAACAAACCAGCAACCTTCACATGTATGTAGTTAACCCCATCCAGATTCTGTGTTAAAGAAGCAGAACAAGCCAATAGGATTTTCAGTGATATGGCTGCAGAACAAAAGTGAAGCATTCTCCACAAGTAACATAAGATATGGGATAGTGAAAATAGGAACAAAAAATAAGAAAGTTTGGAAGCTACAAAATCTACCAAATAGGTATAGGAAGATGGGATAAAATTCACTTCTTAAATTAGGAAAAGTCAAAATACATATGAATGTTTAGGATAAAATAGTAAGGAGATTTTCCTTCTAGAACAAAGTATAAATAATACTTCTAACCAGATCTCATGAGTGCAATTAAGCGAAGACTAAACAGCACCTCTTTAAGTTCAATATAACTAATGCTGCTCACTGCCACACGGTATTAAGGAGCCATCATAGATGTCATGAGTCCATCTCAGATTTTGTGGACCAATAAGATATCATTTTGGCAGCTCTTGTACTTACACTGATGGTAGTATTTTATGGCTTTTAATAAAAAAAGATTTATTGAAAGAGAAAAAGCATATTCCAGTATGAAGCAACTTTAATTACATGTTAACCTTTGGTGTGGCAATGAGGGTTCATTCCCCTAATAATTTTAAATTGAGTGCTTGAGACAAAGCTCAAAGTTCTAATGGTGGATACAGGAACCAATGCTCAACAAAATAGAAAATGTTTTCAGAAAGCAGAACCCAACAGCCCTCACATATCATATTTGGATATGACTAAGTGAATGAGTTACCTAGAAGGACAATGTACAAATTTCCAGTTCTTACATATCATTCCAACTACGAAACTTTGGTGGTGAAGTTCGGGGGAAGCCAACAAAGACGCTGCTCATTTGCCCAGAGAGGATAGGCCAGGAAACTGCATCAATGTGGTTATAATGATCCCTTTACTGTTCTTCTTGGAATAATGTCTCACCATCCCAACTAAATATATATGTAGTCAGCATTCAATTAATAAACTACTAATCTTCATTGAAAAGATCTAATTTACAATATGGATCACATTTAAAACTCGGTAAGTCGAATTCAGACTCACCCTAGTTGACTCGCCTTAGAAGGTTCCCAAATTTTGGAACTTGGCCCAATCTTTTTGAGACATACCCAGTATTATCGAGTTGACTTGGATGGGAACACTAAAGAGTCCCAACCCATGTCCATGTTTCTAAACCTTGGTTAGGATGAGGCAAGCCTGTGTGGAGGATGATTTTGTGGAGGATCCAATTTTAACATGACCTAAGGAGTTGAGGTAATATTTCCATCTATGCAAAAGTTACTAGCAGGTTTTCATCAAAAAATGAATAAAGTTATGCGGGTCCTAATTTCAAAGAGACCTTTAGAAATGATTCAATTGATAAATCAACCACACTTGCACTGCTGATAACTTTAAAATTTCAAAATGAAAGTTGAAGATAACCTCTATTCAAGAACTTTAGTCTTTGTCGGGTTTTAAGATTCCTTATAATCAAATCTAGTTTTGGTCCTAGTCTTTGTTATCAACACCAATCAAGAATTATCTTCTGGACCGCTTAAGTAAAATCTGAATACGAAAATGTTAATCTAGTTTCAATAAAAAATACTATCCAGTTAACAAATATTAAATAACAAGCACCAATCAACAATCATCTTCTGGACCACTAAAGCAAATAGCAAACATAAAGAACTGGAAAAATTAAAATATTGTTTTTAATTGTTCACAATAGTTGACATCAGACCATTATTAGTTATAAAAGAAACTTCCATGGATCATTTATAAACATTAGACTAGGTACAAAAGTAAAACCAAAAAATTACACAAATCACCAAATCACAATTACCAAACCAATCAGTTTCAGTAAACAAATACCTACAAAGACAGGTGGTGCCTCCTCTCCTTCATCCCCTTTCCAAAACTTTACATTGCGGAAGAAAATCTCTGCACTTCCTTTTGGCACTTCACCACGATCTGCATGCATAAAGCGAGAAAAACTTAAGCTCATACATTCCGTTTTACAAAACCAATAGCTTGAAAATTTCGCAACTTGATACACTGTTACGCGAATGTGGAATTGTGGACATTGTACTTGCATCGCATCTCTCTCTCTCT